TTTGTGAAGAGTAACTATAAAGATTTCTATTATCATATTAGCAATATTAAAAAATAGATATTCATGTTTAGAGGATATTAATAATAAAAAGCAATTCTGAAATTGTATGCTTTTCGCTTTTATTTTTTGTTCTGTCTGTTGAATGTTGTCCTAAAATTTTTATAATACACGAGGCATGATCAATCGTTTTGTTGAATAATGATAATAAGAAAGAACGAGTGTTTCCTATGATGAAATAAATTCGATCATATACAGAGAGTAGGTTGAAAGTAGGGAAACACAAGATTTTTTTTGATTTAGTCTCTATACATGAATAATAAAATCTCTTATTGATACCACACATATTAGGTAGTGGTGGTCAGAGACGTAACATATTATCAGTCTCTTGTGACTATAGCAAAACTGACCTTTCTATGTCAAATTTTATTTTTCCTTTTTTTTGTCTGACTGAACCGATTTGCAGAATAAATCGGATTGTTTTATTCTGCAAATCGGTACCATTAAACGAAAAGTGGTAATCAAATTCAATAAGGAAACAATAATTTCCGTTTCAGTCATAATGACCTATCCAAGAGACTGACAATATTCTACGCCTCTGACTACCACAATCTAGTATATGTGTTATAAATCAGAGATTTGATTATTCATCTATAGAGACGAAATCAAAAAATATTGTGTTTCCTGACTTTTGACTCATCCCGTACAACTAATTGTAAATAATTGTATTCATTTCTATATTATTTTTATAAATATATAACATATGTTTTATTCCAAAATCATTTCCATTCATGAAAAAATTAACTTTAATTAATAGAAAACCACAAAATGATAAGCAATGTGGAAAATTAGATGATAAAAATGAGTATTTGCCAATCACTGAACATCCACAGCTTTCTCAACTTAATCTTACTGAAGCTCATGATGATTATATCGAAGAATTTCTTATTGATACGAAAACCTGTTTATCAAATAATCTATATCTTTCTGTTGATTATCAAGGACTGAAACGTGTGATCCAACATTTTACAAGTAATAGAACACGAAATAATTGTAAAAAATTGCGTTGTTTAGGTCTGATAGAGAAATGTCGAATTCCTAAATATGTAAAAGAATATTTTCCTCATACAAAAATATTATGAATGTTATAAATTTTTGTTTAAATAAAACATGTTCTCAGACGAAATGGATTTTTATAGAATGGTAGTATTCACATGAAAAGGGAAGAGTAAAGGAGAACTGAAATTGCAAATGCAGATCAAAGGAAATGTTTTTGTTATAGGTGTAAATTCGACTATCTCTTAGATTATGCTCATCGAAGAAATATAAAATAAAGACGTAGAACATTGATGTTGAATAAATGAAAGAGAAAAATCGACTAAATATCATCATTGAGTAATATATGATGAGATAAATTTATTTTATGAAATAATAACTATGAAAAGAAAACTTGTTTTCCTATGATGGTAATTTTGACATATATTCTTGTTTGTGGAATGTTGTGTTGTTGTTACTGTTATTGTTCATTCTTAAATTCTTTGAAAATATCATTTGCTTTTCGTTTTATTTTTGTACTAAAAGGTTTAACATGTTGTATTCCACATCGATACTATAAAAAGCGAACATTTAGGAATAAGCAGACAAGCTAAGAAATTCTTTACTTACCCATTTTGATTGATAAAGTCCTTGTACTCGATCGAAAACAATTTGTAGTTTCGGTTTCCATTGAACTATATTTAAAAAGAAAATAAAAAATGAATACAAATTGTTTACGCTTACGTCGAAATCGATTCGAAAATGTTCTCCTTCATAGAAATTTACAGTTTCCATATGAATGTCCTCCTTGATATAGTTTATTTTGACAAGGGTGTGGATGTGGGTGTTAATGAACACAAAATCGACACTCACATACACACCCTCAGTTTTGTTTAGCACAAGTTTAAAAAGCCATTCCCTTTCCTTGTAGAAAATTGGATCAAAGAGAAAATTAAAAAGTTTCTCGTACAAAAACAAGAAGAGTTGTGTCGAACAAAAAAAAAGCAGTTCATAAAGAATTTTGTTAAACATATTTCGAAATAATGAGTCTGTCGAAAAAAATAATAACCTTGTTGATTGCTCGATAAACCCATTAAACATGAGAATCTGATGTTTCAATAGCCAGAACATCGCTTTATATAAATTAATTAATTCAATTTGATCATTGTTTTCAATATTGATTGTCCATTGACGTATATGCCAATCGAATTATTGATTTAGGGATGCAACGGTGACGATCAGTCACCGCTTGATCGTAGGAATCGGTAACCGCTTCAGCGAAAACCGTTCAGCCGGAAACCGGCATGAACCGGTAACCGTTCAACCGGTAACCGGTGTGGACCGGTAACCGTTCAACCGGTAACCGGTGTGGACCGGTAACCGTTCAACCGGTAACCGGTGTGGACCGGTAACCGTTCAACCGGTAACCGTTCAACCGGTAACCGTTCAACCGGTAACCGTTCAACTGGTAACCGGTGTGGACCGGTAACCGTTCAACCGGTAACCGGTTCAGATTGGTTATCGGTCAACTCACATATTGTTTTACGTTTGGAGCTGTATCTTGAATAAGGCAAGTACTCATCACTCCTCATATTCCAATATAAGAGGGAAGACTACCGAAGTGGCCCCAAGTGCTATCCATGGGTACTTAAGGCCTGTCAAATGCTGTATAGAGAAGGATAACTTACACCTCTGTAGTCTTATGTTGAGCTGATACATTGTTTAGACAATCTGTCGGTTGGACACAAGGAGAAAAAAGTGAGACTTCGTACTTCACCGTACTTAGGGATGCAACGGTGA